GTGTATGAGGACTGCCATGCGGGCGAGTGCACCAAATGCATGCGACATTTAGCGGATGCGCGTGATAAATCACAACCGCCACACGGTATTAAATGAAAACCATATTCAATTAAGAAATGCCAACCGCTGCGAGAAGCATAACAACGCTTAGCGTTGAGTACTATGTGAAGCGGACCGGTATGTGCTGGCGCGGCTAAGAAGGAGACGGCGCTTAATGCCAGCCAAAGTAGACGGCGTTGCGGCGTTTCCTTTGCGGCAAGTGGCGGTGGCAGGACACACATTTTCAATTTTATTTAATCTTCCATGCTGTACAAATGTTGGCAATCAGAGAGCAACATTTTCGGTGCCGCCGCCGCTGATGGTGTTGTCTGACAGCTGCAGATAGCACATGATTAGCTGCCAACATACACACACATACAAGTGCAGACGCGCGCTTACAGAGAGACTTGTGTACGCTTATAATTGCAGCTAATATATTTTTGAGCGCAGCGGTGACTTCTGGCTGCCGCTCAGCGATGGCAACTGGTTCGAGTTCGGGGCTGCAGCGGCTGTTGGCTTTGTAAAGCTTTTATTTAATTCCACTGCGGCTTAAAATATGCCGTGCGTGCACATATACTATGTGTATGCGGTAACTGTAATTCTGCATAGTTGTAACGGCAACAACAACAGTAGCGGTAGCAATAGCACACATGCATGGAGCGGCGCATGGAGCGGAGTGCCTTTGAATGGCTTTTCTGTTATTTATTAATTCACATTGCAACATGTTGCACATGCATTTGCTTGTATTGCGGCTTCAAGTCTGCCTTCGTCTTTATCTTGCGTCTGCCTTTTTGACTTTGGTTGGATTAAGTTCGGTTTTCCGCTTTCGGCTAGCAGGCGTTTGGCCTTATCTTCGCTCTGCTTTGCCAAAGGCGCAAGGAAAGTGCTCTTTGGCGTTTAAGAATAACACACAAGTGCGCATGCGCAACCATTCACTGCTCTTACGCGGCGCTACAGGCATAAAGCAGCAGTGCACTGGGAGAAGAAAATGTTGCATTTATTGTTTCGAAATTTTTAAGCTAAAATATACAATGTTTTAAATTAAAAAATGTAACTCTCAATTATTGATTCATAGAACGAAAGATACGAGTACCCCTAAAACTATGGTTGAAAATCTCTTAGAACTATTGAAAACGGTTGTTTTTGCAAGAAATCAAGATAGATAATAGGCTTTACACACATCACAGTTTTTCTATCATGTGACTGGGTATGGAAGCGGCTTCTTCCCTTGTTTTTTCGTCACTCTAATAATTTAGGTTAAAGAATCGATCCAATGTCAGGCCCACAAAGTAGTCTATCTTCTAAATATTATATTATAATCAATTAAACTTTTACAGTAAATGTTATTAGTGGCTTTTCAATTTTCAAAAAGTGAACGTGACCTTGACTAAAGTAATTTTAAAATATTATACTTGCAGATAAGTCGAGAACAGAAATATCACAAATATAGCCTCTTGATACCCAAAAACTTCAGTTATGACTTTCAATTCGTTTTAATGATAATGTGGTCTGGGTCTAAGAATGGAGGTTGGAGTCTTATGTAGAAGTTAACGCAAGTGAGGAAAGTTCTCTGAGCGCCATTCATTTGGGAGTGGCCAAAAACTATTCTTTTACATATGGCTCAAGCAGTTCATGACTTTCGGTCTTAGACCATGTATCCTCTGGGTAGCCAAAAAACATCCGCTTGAAGACGAGCTAAAGTGAGAAGGTGAAACATCCGCTACCCATGATTGTGCGCTGGGTTTGGAACCTGCCACGCAAAAAATCTTACCAATGAAAAGAAGAAAACAGCCTCGGATATAACCGCGTAACCATTAAAGAAGTGCTAAGAATAGATAAAAAGGATTTCATATATTCTCCCAGCTTCCGCATTCTAAATCTTAAGATATTTGAAAACCCGAAGAGAACAAATTTTGTTCTCAGTGCATTTTTGCTACCGTACAGCTAGTCAAAATTAAGTTGTCTGGCTGAGAAAGTGTGAATAAATCAAAATATGCAAATCATTAGAAATCCGCCGATAATTCATTAGTGAATAAATAGTTACAAGCGTCGAGAAAGACGCGTTGAAATGTTGGCGCTACTAATTGCTACCAGATTTATTGCAAAGATTTTCACTTTTCAATGCGAAGATACATTTTTTCCTAACAAGAAAATGAAAATTGAGCGCAAAAACGGGAAAAAGGAAAATCAAATGACTTCCGCGAAGATATGAGGATAAGCAGAAGATATAAAATCGCTCTAAAGTGGCTGAAATTCATTCTAAGTGCTGATATTTAGCACACAACTGTGAAAGTGAAAAAAAAACCGTAAAGTTGCTTATTAACGGCCGGGTCGTTCAACTCGCCTTGCAGCGACATTTTCATAACACCCATGTGCACCTTCATTAATATGCGAAATTACATACATTAGCTATATTGTTTGCATCTATGTATGTAGTTATAAATGCATGCATGTATGTTTGTACGTGCAGACTCCTTCGAAATTTTGATTAATCGAAGATGCAATTTCATAATCATCATATCGTAGCTTTAAGGCCTGAGCAAAGCCAAGCACGAACCAAACAAACACATGTTCCGTTGTGGCTGCATTACAGTTATTTTTCGTATTTTGACTTCGGAACAGGCAAACTCACGGCTAACAAATTGATAAATCGTGCAGCGCGTATTTGCTCAAGGCGCTCAGTTACCACTTCGTTTTGCAACGATGAACCAAAATCGAAATACACAATCGCTTATTGCTGTGTCTTTGCTCGTGTTTATGCAAGTCTTTGTCTGTGTGTGTGTGTTTGTGAGTGTCAGCTATGTCCACAGGTAATCACTAATGGGCAAGAGTTGAAAAGTCAAAGAGTGTCAAGTGACAAAAAGAAAAGAGGCGACAAAGCCGATTTTGTGGTGAGAAAGAGGAGCGTGTCTCAGCTTACGTGTACAACAACAGCACTCATTACAGGCGACTATGTCATATTTGTTGTGAAGATTACAAAGGCTTGTGCAATATCTTTCAGTCACACAATTGCATATTTCCCCCCGATAGGGTTTTACTTTTTATTTTGGTGTTCGGTGCTTCGGTGTACATCATTTATTAAATTTGTTAAATTGCAAATAATATTTCGGTTGGTATTTCATTTGTGGGTTTTAGCCGTTGTTAACCGACTCTCATTGTTGGCGCTGGACAATGTCTGATGGATGTATTCAGCAGTAATATTATACGAATGTACGAATGGTTTGAGAAGTTTGGCTTCAATATCCAATTTCGGTACATTGAAGGAGATGCTGTTGGAAAACGGATTTACTTAAAAACAAATAAATTGTGACTTAAGTACTACAAATCGATGAATATTTTGTCCCCTCAGAAAAAATAAGTTAAAAGATGTCTCTGTGCTTGAGTCACTGCCGACGGTGGGCGCTTTGCACAGAAAATTTAAGACCATGCAAACATTAAACCCCGCAGAATGAAGCTAATTGACAAAGAAGTCGATTGTGAAAAGCAATATCTTAATGCTGTTTTCTTAATTTCCATTTGATAATTGTCAATAAATTTCAATGAAATCTTCGGCCTTAATTTGAAATTAATGAACTGTGTGAGATAAATGATGAATGCCATTTAATTCAGCGAAGTAAAATCTAGAGATCAAGTTGAAAAGTCCTGCTGTTCCAATATTGATAATTTCTAGAGTCTCGAAAGCTTTCGATATTCTATAGAACTCACGTTCTCAAGAGAAAATTTAGCTCTTTCGAAAAGTTGAAGTTAATGAAACTTACTTTTAGTGAGTCTAAGAGGTTATGCATGTAGTTTTCTCTGAAGAAATCTTAAGAAAGTATTCATCCATTTAAAACTATTTTCATAAACCAAAATCTTAAAATGTATGCTATTAAATCCATTATTCCCGGTGTTTGACCAGGGGAAGTGACATATTTGTATCGTTTGTATGAGAGATAGCAACTGAAATAGTATGTATACTTGGCTCTAATAAGTATTCAAAAAGCTCGTGGTCATTTTCATAATAATCCTTGCCAAATTTTGAGAAGTTATACAGACGGACGGACAAACGGACATGGCTAAATCAACGCAGCTCGTCACCCTTATCATTTTTAAATAACCGACGATTACTTTCGGATGTGATCCCGATATACGACATGTGTACAAAAAGTTTCGAGAACTTTGAATAATCGCGGGTTACGTGTATTCGATTTTCGCTTGTTTTTTTGCATTATTTCTTACTTATGCTGACAAGGTCGGCCATTTTGAATATTTAGTTAATTTATTAAAGCTGTTTGTTGGATGCTTTTTGGTTTGTCTTCGATTTTTATACCAAAATAATCACTTTCGAGCAAAAAGCACGTCGCGTTGACAATGCTCATAAGATGTTGAACTAAATTCGCGTCGACCCAGGTCTGCCCCACAGGATCATAACTGGCGAATCATGAGTTCTTGCCAGAGGGTAGAAAGGTCAATAAAGAATATTATCGTCAAGTTGTGTGCGATTTGCAGGAATAAATCCGCCAGAAACTTCGGTTTTGGAGAAGATCAAAAATTAACTTTTGTACTGAGATAACGCCTCCGTGCTTGTCCATGACTATTTGATCAAAAACAACTTACTAATGGTGAAGTAGCCACCTTATTAACCAGATCAGTAAGTTTTTTTGCTCCTAAAACCGAACAGACCTAAGAAAGGATGACGATAAATGGACGAAGAAACTGTCTTGAAGGAAAAGCACAAGTGTAATGTATCTATGAACAAAAATTACGATATTTTTAAGAACTAAGTTAAGTTTATTCAGTTCAAACCCAGTGGGAGGACTTAGTATTAAGCAGAAGTATGGAAGATTATTTTACTAAAATTATGAATAAAAGTTACATCATAGAAAGTGTCAGTTATTCTCGCAAAAGGAACAAAATTAACCAACTTTTCACTAACACTTTCTCCCACACACAAATAGACGAACTTTATCTGTTACACTTACCTCGTTAATTTCATCCTCGAGCGCTCGCTGACGCGTCAATTCACGCAAACGCTCACGACGCTGCTCCGTGAGCTGCTCTAGCCGCTTGGCCGCGCGATCGACCTCATTGAATAGTAGTGTCACTTTGTGCAGCCTAATTGCAACATCCACGTTGCCCGTTGCACTACAGTTATCTGGCGCAACAGCATTATTAGCTACCGTCGCGTTGGCCGCTACTGTTGGCCGGCTGATGGCATCGCATGACGTCATTGTGCTGTACTTTGACGCAGCGGGGCGACTTTGTGACGACTGTTGTTGCTGTTGTTGATGTGTCATGCTAAAGCTATAACTGCCACCAAAACCGAGGTGGTTGATGGATGAAATGGTGGACAATAGTTTGTTGCTGCTGCTGATGCGGCGATTGTTGTGGCCTACACCACCGGCACCACTGCTGCTGCCATAGCAATAGCGCCCATTATTGTTGTTGTTGCTACTGCTTGCCACGCCGATGTTGGCATTATGATTATGGCTATTTTCGCCAACGTCAGTCGCCGTCGCTGCAACGAGCGCAAACGATTTGGCCAGCTGCTGCAGACGCGCTAACTGTAAAGCGCCGCGCTTGCGCAAATTATGTAATTCAGAATCCATAAGCGCGCGACTTAGCGCGCGATGTTGCGCGTACAATTGGCGACGTGTGGGTAAACCCTGTAGGTCGGCGGAGCGTATGTCACTCATGGCGGCCACTAGCCGCTGGCCCGCCGTGGCGCATTGCAGTTGAAAGGGTTCCAGTGCGACGAAGAATTCGCGCCATTTCCGCGCGTCGTGATGATGCAAACCTTGCAATTTGCCGTACGGTATTTGCGATGGTGCAACACTTGTCGTGACTTCATTGACGCTAATGAATTTCAACGAATGTTGTATTTGCGGTGTCGCTGGTGCTTGCTGTTGCTGCTCCTGTTCCGGAGAGGGGGGAGAAAGAGCAAATCAAAGAAACGTGTATTGTTAGTTACGATTTTGATAGTTGTTGCTTTTGTTGTTATTTCTACATTCAATCATTGGGTCGGTCCGTCGTCGCTTCGTTTGCCTACATATTTCTTTATTTGCACATCTGTTTGTCCGTTTGCCGGTTTGTCGCTTTGCTCGTGTCGCTTTGTATTTGTGTTTACTCTTTGCCAACAACAATTTTTTTGTTGTCATTATTTTGGTAGTTCTTGTTAAAAATCGGGTTAATTGGGTGTTATGTCGGGCGTTAACCGCGTGCTCAGATGTTGATCATTTGTTCGCGAGCTTTTTTTTCTTGCTGTGAGCTACAGTTTTTTCCTTCCTACTTTGTGGGTCCAAGCCGGAGTCTACATTGTTTCTATCTACTATTGTTTCTTTATTGTTGTTGTGGTACTTTCAATATCTTGTTATTTACTACTCATTGCTACTCATTCAATTGTTAGCGAATCGACATCAAGACACTTACCTCATTTCATTTAACAAGTAACTACAGTTTCGCCGTGTGCTGAGCTTTTTGTTCGTCGTCGCTGCTTTGCCCTGGCCTCCGAAGGAGGTACACACAAAGTTCAGAAGTTCACAACTGATTTATTTTGGGAACTATTTTCGATTTGAATGCCAATTTTTGAAAATGTTCATTTGCACTTAATACCCTTTATCGCATTTTATGGAAATGTGGGTGACAATTTTGGTAAGACTAAGTAGCTGAGGGCTCGAAAATTAGTATTTAATGTTTATTGTAGTGAAAGTATTGTTTTGATAAGGCTGAGTGGCTGTATATATATTTATTTAGTATGTCGTAACTGGTATTGAGTAGCACTGAAGGTCCTCTTGGCTTTTTAAGAACCCCTTTTTAAAAACTCAGACTAAGAAGTACGAAATAAAATCGACTTTATAGAATTATGTTTTTGAAAAATGTGATTTTCTCCGTTTTTAATCATTAGGACCATATTGAGGGCAATCAGGTCATGTACTTTTTCTTTCAGATATAAATTGTAACTATAAACTATAAGATTTTCTGAAAAATATACTTGAGTGGACTTCAATAACTTAACTGTCAACAGGTGCCTAAGATCCTATTTATTTTCCTCAAGTATTGTTTCAGCAATAGAACTTATTCAAAGAGAGAGATAGAGAGAGTGTGCGACAAAATGAGTCAAAGCTCTAGGATGGTTTTCAAAGGTGGGGTTAATTTTGTAGTTGTGACATATAGTATCAGTTAGCTGTACAAACAGATCGGTTCCAAGGAATATAGTTGACTTTTTATTTAAAATATTGGTCAATGTGTCAGATATATAAGCAAACATCAGAGAGAGTCCTGTGGTATGTCTGTGTGATAGAATAGGCTTGAATGAGTCTATTATAAAGATTTTCCAACTTTATATAAACTCAAAAAAAAAAAAAAACTAGTTTCTCTTATAACGGTGCATATTTGTGCTTAGAATGAATAAAATCGAGTGAAAACTCGCTCTAGACAGAAAGGGCCTTATGTACCTGAAGATATTTCCCTGCCTTTAATCCTGACAAGTTGAAAGAGTATGAAATGTTCGGTTATACCCGAACTTAGGTCTTCCTTACTCGTTATTCTAACTTTCTTCAATGAAGACTGAGACTTTTAATCACTTCTTTCAAGCATATTTTTCTAAGTATTCTGTGTACTTTAAATCACTCATTAAGTTTTTCAGAATAATTACGAAAAAACTTGTCCGATAGCCATGGACCAAATTTTCTTAATGTCACAAATCTCTGCCTTTTGGTATAAATAATATGAGATCCTAAAATAAATTCCCATAAAAATATGGAAAATCACAAAGTTGGCCATAAATTTTGATCCGGCGCTTACAAGCCCGTGCAATGTGGCCAAAGTACAATTTTGTGTTAGAATGTTGTTGCAGTGGTTGTTTAACTGTTTTCAGTTTTGTTAATGTGTGTGGGTGTATAACTCACCTTATTGCAACTTTCGTTATTCTCGCCATTAGCGCAACTGCTGACAGCCGCGTTATTGCCAAATGCTGAGTGCTGTTGCTGTTGTTGTTGCTGTTCCAGCAATAACTTGTGTTCGAGGCAAACGGCAAGAATTTCGCAATACGCAATTTGCCTTGTCAGTAGACGCAGACTTTGGCAAATTAAGTCGATTACGCACATTTGGCCCGACTTTTCGATGGCAATTAGAATGGTGAACGTTGGTGTTGCAGCACCGTGGCTGCCACTGCTGCCGCTGTAGTTGCTGTCGCTGCTGTTGATGGCGTTGTTGCTGTCAGCAGTCGCATGGGCGGGTGATTTAGCGGCGGTGACGGTGGCTGTTGTGACATTTGAGGTGACTGACACACTTGCGGAGTTGCCAAATGTCGACGTCGCTGCCGTCGCTGCGCTGGCCATTTTCGGTGTCGACGGACGGTTGACGAACGCCGGTTCTGCCGGCGACTGTTGGTGGCTGTGTTGAGTTTGCTGTTGTTGCATTGAAGGTTGCGGCTGCTGCGTGGTGGCACGGTCATTAGCATTCGCAGTTGAAGTTCTGCAAATTGAAATTGAGAATGAAAACAAAAAATAGTTTAGCAAAATGCGTGACTGATTGTCAAAAAAAGCGAATGAATTGCATGAAGGCGATGCAGATAAACATTAAAACTCGTTAGAGACATGTACACGTTTTATACCCGAGATTTTTCCAGCTGCAACAAATAGATAATATGTTCTTGAGTGTGTGTGATTAGATAAATGATCGATCATTAGTCGATCTGTGTATAAACTCGTAAATAGTCATTCAAATGCATTTATGAATACAATGCAAGGGATGGCCCTGTAGGAAACAATTTAGATTGAAGAGTAGTATGTACATTACTTCAGGTCAGAAGAGAATAGTGGTGAGTATAAAAGACCAGGTCTCGTCAGCAGTACGGTTCTCAACTAAGTTATCAAGCAACTTTTTTCCAATCTCACTCGATTCAGGTAGTTTGATTTTCTCCAAAAAAAAAAAAAAAAAATTAAATTTGTATCAGTCCAGGTCAAATTTGATCAGATGATGTTAATAAAGGAAGTAAAAGTTCTTAAGTAAACATATTGGAATTATGTTGTAACCAAGGATCTTCGATACGTATTATATCGAGAGAATCACAGTACTTTGCAAAGCCTGTGATTTACAATAAATGTAGAGTCAACACGGACTCTTATAAGATCTACTGATCTACAAAGTTTGTGATCCTAACTACGACATTTCACAAGGCTGGTTTTGATTAAAAAGACTACCGCGTAGAGGATATAGATGGCATTTTTTCGGTAGATATTTTTGGAGAGAAGTATAGGTAACGATATTTACAAGCATGATTTCATTAGAGTCACCATTTGATTTAATGGAAACTGTTAAATTTACTGGAGCTCGTTAGAAGTTTTGAGAAAAATAGTTTCGCAAATTTGTGATGATTGGCCGGAGTCGGTTTGTTATGATTAGCTCTAAAATGTAAAACTAAGCAATAGCAAGTCCCCTCTGCCTACAAATTACACTGGAGTTAGTTAGACAGTTTCAAAACTCGTATGTATCTGAGTGCGCTAGATAAAGTAAACTCTTGCCACTGCTTGCTGATGTTCTTACTAAGTACAAGTCTAATTCTAACCCCTTACGGAGTTTCTATTCCTACAGGTCACATTTATTTTAGCAAAAACCATAAATATTTACGCATTTGTAGCCGGCTGGCATAATTTACAAACTGAACCCTGACACAGAAAATATCATTATTATTGAATTTTTTTCTTGTCAACGAAAATTGCATTCGCCATTTGGCCAACTCTACACACACCGGCGATCGCCTGAGTATTCTCGCTGTTATAGTAATCGAACACAATCATTTATTTATTATCGCTCATTTGTGGCACAAACAGCAACGATAAATAAATGCATGAAAATAAATTCTAGATGTATAATAACCCGAGGCATTGCCAAGCCGAACGCCGAAGGTGCGAGGTAAGCCGCTTGTCGCAGCTTACAACACGCTCGCTATTTAATTGAAATGACGCCGCATGTGGTCAGCTTTGTCTGTCAATGTTGGCAACAACATAGTCAACGACATTCGTGACTCGACAGCCAAACACACACACATATGCTATTTGCCAGCGCATGCGGCATGACTAGAGGCGCAGCGCTTCTTCAGATCAACCTACGCAGTTTTTGTTGTCTCTCAACGATGTGATGGGCTTTGCTTTTGTTGTTGTTGATCGTAGTAGAGTCTCGTGTAATTTACTGTCGTTAGCTGAGTGACTTCACACTTTGAGCTGTGTTGGAATTTTTAGTTTTTGTAAGTTGTTGTAAAGTGATTTGAATTTGAGATTTTACTTTTTGCGAACGCTGCTGAGTCCATTCAAATGAGCTTAGAAATCTTGAGAAACCAACGAGTGCATACTAAGTTGGCATTGACTGCAGATAGTAGCATTATTTAGTTTTTAGCCAGGTTTCTTACCATAATTGTGATGTGTTTTGGTTTCATCTCTAAATCGCTTGAAGCTGGCTTTGGCATAACCTGCCAAGAGATCTCTTTTAGATAGTGATGTATGGCATTGTGCTAAATAAAGTTCTTCCGACCTAAGAAATAAACTTTTTTGGCTCACTATTGTATGATTTACTAAATTTTTCCGCGAAAAGTTCTAACAATTACTCTAAGTCAAGTATTATATCTACGAAACTGCTCAAGTCTGCGAGGGCTGCCAAAAGTATTATGCTGTTTTCCAATGATCTTTGGGTCTTGCTTTGCTTAGCTCCATATTTTTGTTTTCACATACATATTTCAGAGTTGTTTCTGCTTGAACATATGAGAAAGAACTCTTACCACTCTTTTTCTATGTCTAATTTGTACTCATTACTTTGAAATTCTAGGTAAAGGTCTCTGTTTTCTATAATTCTTTCATTTTTCCATTGCCTAGTAATTTTACTTGGAATATAATTACAGAGCTGCGGGACAAAAAGAGAGAGATAGTTACCATGATGCCAGAGAACTTAAGTCCATCATTTTATAATCTTGCATTCATTGTTTTTTTTTAATAGATAAACTTTGACCGTCATTATTTATTGTGGTTTTACCAACTTGAGTGCAAGATAGGAGAGAATTCCCGCTTATGCTTCACTAAAAAGTATGTATCTCGAAGAGGACTATATATAGCTTTGCTAAATCTATAAATATAGTATCGCAACCTCTTTTTATATTTCCTGAGTAGATTAAGTTGTTCTATCCAACTTGTATCTAAAGTAGCATGTATGTACTTGGCAGCAAGTCACTAGAGAACATTAAAGTTGTCTGCGTTCGATTTCAGCCTCACCTTATAATCTTGGAATTATTAATTTTTGCTATTTGTTTGAGTGCTGTTTGAATTATTGTCGCTTGTTGCGAAGATCGCTGTGCGCGCAGCTTGTGTGTCCGAGCAGCAGCAGCAGCATGCTGTTGCAGTAATTTGGGTTAATGTCGCGTGTATTTGTCATAATTTGCCTGCGAGCTACTCGTTGCATATACTTGCCTCAACAGATTTGTCGGGGAATCTGTGTTATTTGCATTCGTAAGTACGAGTACAAGTGTGTATAATTCGTGTGCGCGAAAAATAATGCGCAAAAATACTTGTTTAAACGGTTTTTGTAAAGTTGCTGGAATTTCGAAATAAAGATCTCAGACAAGCGCACCCATTAACATGAATCGCTAAGACTCAATGATTTAGGGGATAGTGGATTTGGCGCACACACAACAACAGTGACATAAAAAGTATGGACAGATCATGTATTTAGCCATTCTTAAAGAATATTCCTGTGCCTTATGAGTTAATTAAGACGTTGAGAATATTCATTAAGATACAGTTGCTTGTTCTTTATATTTTTTATTATGTCGGAAGAGATTTCGAGTTTTTATAAAACATAAGGGAGATAAGATAAGAACTGAAATAGGCTGACATTTAACTGGCAAACCAAAGTTATAAGGATTATCAATTTTTCAACATAAAACGAAACTTCAAAAGAATATAGAAGTATCGATGTTCAGATATCCGACTATGACTAGATTCGCGTTTTGAGGCTAAAGAATAACCTATCTGTCTGAGGCCTTCATGTAAAAGTTCTGCTATTATATACCGCTGAGTGATTCAGTATCTCATAAACGGTGAGATTATTTAATTTTTGTTTGTCATAGCGGTTTTCAATGCGATCGGCAGAGAAATCGAATTAAGACTTCTTTCTTTTCTAAATGATACCTTGAATTTAGTATTCAGCTTAAAATAATGGTAGCTGAATAAAGAGCTGAATACAAAAAAAGAGGTCAGAGGTCTTCTACGAAATATTATATTCATTTTCTTAAGTTAAATAATTTTTGAAATCAAGAAGGAGAATTTGGAGATGAAATGAAATTTCTGAAGTGAATTAAAATCGATCGGCTGGGTAAAATTTTAACATGATTTCTATTTATGAATAATAATCTCATTTAAAGTTAATTAATAAAAAAAAAAAAGAAATTTTCAGAAACCAATAATTTTTATCGTGCACAGAAACTTCAATAAAATCAACAATTGTGCTTTATTAAAAATTATTATTATACTAAATTCAACAAAATCAAAAATCACTCTTTCAAACGTTTAATTATATTCAGCGCTTATTCAGCTACGTGAACTCATGCTGCAGAAGCCAAGAAATTTGTTTAATTAAATTTGTTTTTTAATCCAAAACATATGAAAAAAATCGCATTTTCCGACGTTTAACCACATTCAGCACCTATTCAGCTAAGTGATTTTATCGACTTCGAAAACGCTGCAATCGTGCTACAGAGATCGAAAGCAAACCAAGAGCACAAACGAAAAGTAAAAGCAAGAACAAAGTAGAATTTGTAAAAGCCACACCGAAGAGAATTCCATGATTCGTAAAAACTTTATGGAGACACCGTAATATTTAGAATTTTATAGCGCAGCGTGGCGTGCCATCATTATGAAAAAAACAACAAAGGCAAAGTGGCCGAGCTGTGCTTAATAAGGTATAAAAATGTAAGACCAATAAAATTTCACTTTTCACCTGTCTCCCAATGTTAGAGAAGAAACCATGAAGATAGAACTTCAGATGAAATGAAACAGAATATGAAATAGAATACATCTACGAATGTAAGTACTTCTGAGTGAGTGGTGGTAGCTAGTACTAGACGATACTAAAACTTTTAATTGAAAGTTGTTGCAGCAATTAATGGTGCGAGCAACTGCGTAAAGCTCCCCTCTTGCCATATATTACACAGCATGAAGGACTCTCAGTTATGAGGAAGTCACTCGTCTTTGTTGGTTTGTGTAGCAAAGAATTTTAAAATTGCTTTACTAAGTTGTGTAACAGCTTCTTAACAAGCAGTTTACAGTTTTTATGTGAGTATAAAAATGCAGGCAACCAGTCACGTGATCAAAAGAATCGTAGAATGTTTTATCGATCTGCTGTGAAGCGAGGGCCTGCGCGCATGTGCTCTCACGCTATGCGCTAACGTCTAACGTTTGGTGCGCAAGTCAAGTGCTGGCTGGTGAAAT